TGTTAAAAAAGTTTTGAGATGTTTAAATTGAATTAGAAAAAAGAAATAACTTATAAAATAACAATAATCTTACATGTTGTATTACAAAGTACGGATCATTTCTTACAAACGAAGATTTTCTGCGTTCTTTTAAGGTACCAAATATTCTAGATCGCCTATTTTCTGATGAAGATGTAAGCATCGTTTGTCCATTGACATCCGTATCATCATCAGCATATATAAATCGAGCAAAAGTTATATTGTCGTAAAGAATCTATTATTATGATTATAAAAAATTAAAGTTAATAGGATGATTGGTAAATCCACAAAGTCAATAAAGATGAACTAATTACCTCAAGGATTTCTCTCGGCACACCGTCGATCCTTGTATTATTTACGAATTCATCCTTTGTCATTTTACGCTTTACACTTTTGTTAAATGCATCAGTGTGTAACATCAACATTGCAAAAGCTAAGACGTAAGCTACATCTATAATTTAACAGTATCATATAATCAGAATAATGTTGACTAAAATAAATAGTAAATACGTAAAATAAAAACAATTGAGCTAGATGCTGCAAAAAAAATTTTTTAAAATTGGTTTTTTTTTACATAAATTAATTTTGAATAAGTTTCAAAATTATTTTTCATTTAAGACACGAAAGTACCGTTGGCCACTGCCTACAATAACCATTTTTAAAATTGAATAGTACCCATGGGTACTGTGTGAAGAACCGGGTACTATATTTGGAGATATATCAAATTAAAAGTGGTAAATCAATATAGTTGTACCCCCAGGTCTTGTTCAAGTAACAAGCCAGGGTCTTAATCATGGGGATTATTAATAAAATTTTGCAGTATAGCTTCTCAAAATTTGCAGTTTCGTATGATTTATTATAAAATTTATAACATAAAAATTGCAGCACTCAACCCAATTCTTAGCAAATGATTTTAACAAACCTGAATTTGAAAACACATCTGGATTACACTCATGATATCTTTTAGCAAATGCTTCCATGACGCGATCTATTTGTTGCGTCTCCTTTGGTAAGCAGCAATCCAACAAAAATTTCCTGAATTCGCAAGTTTAACGAAATTGAGAATTGAAGAAATTGAAGAGAATTGAAGAGAATTGAAGAGCCTACCGTAAAGCTATATCAATGGGATCACTGTGAAAATCAAAAGTCTCCATATACGTTCGCAACACAGCTTCATGAAATATGTCTTTGCTATGTATATTAAAATTAAAAAGTTAAATAATCAAGTCGCAATCCGCATCAGCACTTTCAAAAATATATACCTTTTTGCAAGCAAGGTTGCCAATTCAGATTTTGATAAAGTATCACGCAATTTTTCAAGATATTGTTGAGGAGTATCCGGAAATGCCTTATTCATGAGAGATGCATTCTTCTGATTCAAAGTAGTTAAGTTTACCATAGATTTTGCAGCAGAATGGGAAGTAGTTTGATTATTACTCAGATCTTTACTTTCAGCAAACAACTCGGCGATATCAGGAGCAGATTCGGTACGTTTAGGTTGCTTTAACTTTGCAGGATCCAAACCGTCAAATAAAGAACCAGAAGCAGATAGATTTGAAGCATCAGAAGAATGTAATTTTGTCGGAGAAGGAGGTGGTAAAATGGAATTTTGAGAAATTTCATTGACGTCACTTTCACCATCATCGAAATCAAAATTGTCAATAAATGGGTTATTAGTGGAAACTCTAGTAGTAGTTATTGTTATGGTAGTTGTGGTTGTAGTAGTCGTTATGGTAGGATCATCCGATTTAGCAGATAAATTTGATGACAGTGGATTTGTTTTTCCATCATAAGGAGGAGGAGGCGTATCTTCTACATTAGGAGCATCCATGACGTTAACACTTGGACTTTGACGGTTTAGAATGATTTTTTTGCTTTCAGTTGAACTATGCGAATCTGATCTTGAAAGTTTTTTTGCATCTTTGTTAATGTCTGAATCAAATAATTGTTGTACAGCGCTAGGACTTTTATGATATAGCGAGAACATATTACGTACAGTAATGCAATATACCACACTTTTAACCGAGAAAGGATTTCCGTAATGGAGTAATAAATAATAAGTAATAAATAAATAATAAATAAATGACGCAAATTATACCGCCAGATGATTTTGAAGTAAAAAGTAAAAGCATGAAATAGAAGGAAAAAAATACAAAAAAATACAAAAAAAAAAAAGGTTGAAAGTAAGTTTATCCAGTCTTAAAGAACATCCGGTTCTTTGAAGAAAAGGTATTAATTCAAAATTAATATAAATATTTTATATCGTAGATGTTACACGTGTTTATACAAACTATACAAGATATACGGAACCAAAAATGAATGAATGATTAATAGTTTATTGAGATTCTTTATGTTCTCAGTTACACAAATTACACAAGATTCTGCCGGTAGATTTCACAGTTTCAGGACAATGGGGTAACCGAATGCAGATCTTGCTTGGCTAAGGAAACCAATACAAGGAAATATCCCGCCTCTTTATATTAACTATATCAAATTTTAAAAATAAACTAATCACGTCAGGACTTTAAAATTGAAGTTAAAAAACAAACGGAATTTCTTAAGAAAGTTTATCGATATGAATCGTAAAAAAGTAATCGGAATCTTAGTTACGATAAAGCATAGAAAATAGGTTGCCTGCAGACAAACAAAGAATAAACACATCTGCACTTACTATAAACTTTGTAATGTATCGATATGTACGTTCTGTTTATTACGCGTTAACTATTCACGTGTGCAAATTAAATTTATTTTCGATGTTCCGGATTGAATCATTCGGAAAACTTGCTCGATAAATTATGATGTTCGATAAATTATGATGTTTCGGATTCGGAAAACCTACTCAAAATATTCAAAAAAATATTCAAAAAAATATTCAAAAAAATATTCGATTTTATTATTAACCTTAAATTGATTTTTTAAGGGATTTCATACCTCCTGAACAAATTCAATTTTTGGTTAGTTTACAATTCTGAACGCTAGTGGTCTTTCAGGGTGGGTGTGCACTTAAATAGATTTCA